CTCGCGTCCGGGCTCGTCGTCGACGGCGCCGGCAGCCTCAGCGCCGGCCGTGGCCGGCGCGTAGGCGACACAGCGGGCGCGGCCGACGCCGCGGCGCCCGGGAGCGCCTCGCGGCGGCGGCGTCGGCGTCATCGTCGCCGCCGCCGTCGTCGTCGTCGTCGCTGTCGTCGTCGGCGTCGTCGCCGTCGTCGTTGTGGTCGTCCTGGTCGTCGGCGTTGTTGTCGTCCCCGTGGTCGTGCTGGTCGTCGTCGTCGGCCTCTCTGGACGGGGAGGGTGAGGAGGGAGCAGGGTGGAGGTGTGCGGAGGGACCTCCTCCTCCTCCTCCTGTCTCTCCTCCCTCCTCCTTCTTGTTCCCCTTCTCCTCTCTCCCCTCATCTAAGACGAAGCCAAGACGAGGATAAAATCGGGTGAGGATAGATCGTGAATCTCTGAGATCCCCGCGTGGCCTTCTCAATCTGTCTGGAACGCTCTGAGAGCGTTCCACAACGCTCTGGCATGGAATCCCTGGGAGGAGGAGAAGAGAGATAGGGGCGACAACAGGGGTGCAGCACGATCGTGAGCGACAACAACATCACGACTCTGTCGACCCGTGGTCTGGGAGGATTTTCCACGTGATAGACCTCCCTAAACATCAAAAACGCTGTCAAGCTGGATCTCGTCGGACGAAGTGACAACACACATTGCATTATGGTTACAGGGTTTGCGACCGACCGACTACACTTGGGTTAAGGCCAGAAATCGTACTTGCGGCATTACTGCTTCGGCGCGTACAGTTGTCATCACAAGACGTAGAAGCAGCATCTGACTCCATGTCACTCTACTCTTTAGTGGATGGCATGCTGCAGAGAGGTTTTGACGCTGGGATCGTGAATGCAAGAGATGTCTGGATGCAGCGCGAAGAACTCGCTGCCAGGTGCTGGCAAGTCGGACGCACTTGACCTTCTCAACAAGGAGTAATCGAGTCGCCAGAAAGGTCCAACCTTCTCGTGGAAACCTTGATCCCCCGGTCGTCGACCACCGCTGTGCATAAGGGTGCGTCTTCAAACTCGACATCAGGCGCCCGATCCACCATCTGGTCTGGTCCGACACCGTAAAGCTCATCGACATGCTGTCGGCGCACCCGAAACCCAGAATCCGCCGACCCCTTGGGGTCATCGGCGTGTGAGATGCTTCCCCCTCCACAAACCCCTCCCCCAAGGGCCCGGTCCGGTCGGTTTGGAGGGAGGGGGATCCAGCTGGCCCCGGCTGAACGCGCCACGGGCCTCACGACGGGCCATGACCGCCCCAGAGGCCCACAGATGGTCCAAGAGGGCCCCGAGTCGCCGATGGATCGTTCCAAGACGCCCGAGATGGCCCCCAGACGGCCCAAGAGGTCCCCGAGACGCCCCACGAGGCCCCCAAGAGGCGTCCCAAGAGGGCCCCAATAAGCAACAATCGTCCCAGTCCCACAGGGAAACGTATGATTTTAGCACAGTCGCCTCTGGTTTTTCACAACGTCCAAGACGACCCAGGAGGCCTCCAAGATCGCCTCAAGACGGCCCAAGAAGCCCCCAAGAAGGCTCCAAGAGGAGCCTCAAGACGGCCCCAAAGGCCCCCAAGACGGCTCCAGGAGGGGGCCCAGGCGGGGGACCCGCACGTAAATTCCGAGTGCTCGGCCACAAACAGCCTCCAGGAGGCCCCAAGAGGCCCCCAAGAAGCACCCAAGAGGCCTCAAGAGGCCCACCAGAGACCCAAAAGAGAACCCAAGAGGCCCTAAAACGGCCCCCAAAGGGCCTCAAAAGTGCTGCCAGGAGGCCCCCGAGAGACCTACCAGGAGCCCCCCAGGGGGTTGGCGGTGCGGCGTAAGCCCAATATCAGAGAACTGACCGAGGCTCTTTCTCCAGCTGGATCGTCGCAGAAAAGTAACTTGTTAGAACTTATGCCCAACGATTTGGCTTTCGGAGAACATACATCCCGCGTGGAAGAGATGCGGAAGGGCCATTGTAGACAGCACAAGTGCGTCGAACAAATGGAGATACTGGGCAGTCTGATTGATGAGGAAGGAAATGATGATACTATGTTCAACCATCGTCATCGCAAAGCCGAACAATGGGTTTGGCGGCAAGCGAATAACAAATCTTGCCGCAAGCATCATGGCGCATAATACAGCGCGTGAGAAGCGAACCCTAGTGCATCAACATATTTCGGCTGCTCAGCGTGGACGCTCAACTATATCCTGCTGCAGAACACCCGAAGGTGAGAGTAATGCTTGAATCGCAAACTCTTGCGCCTCAGACGCTGTCGTGACGAAAGCGCCATTCCATACATCGTGCGCACAATTAAGAAGATGACCCACTGGCTCGCTGCCTCGAAGACAACACTTCTCCGCCATTGCATTCTCAGACATGGGGTGGGCGAATGGTGACGCACGCAGAGCACGGCAACATATGTTCAGACTTGCAAGAGCAGCGCAGCGAAATCAGTTTGGAATGCGTCAAACAAACGCTACTCAAACGGCGGGGTGCCGAGAATTGGGCTCATGGTCGCCCCAGCTGTATCAATGAAAAAAGGAAGCTGTTCTGGTTTTGTGTTTCCGAAAGCAGTATGGGCATAATGGGGGGACCAATGTACGCAAACCACACCGCAAACCACACCGAATGGAACACAAACATTGAACCCTTGGCCCGCACTATTTGCGATACCTGTGAGAAGAGCCACCTGGACCGCGTCGACAGGCTGTCTGAGCAGACCAGAAGCAGCTCGAGAATTCGACAAAGGATCACGAATTGGGTATGCAAAGGGATGCACCGCTAAGCATACAACTTATCGACGTCGATTGCTAGCCTTTGCTATGACATGAAAAGGGCCACGTGGATATGCCGAGCGACAGCTGCAAACAACTCATGCACCGCATCGTGGACAATATCTACCAAAATGTATCTCTGGGCCATCCTCCGCGGGAAGACGCGAAAACACCCTGTGCGCGGAATCAACCGAGACGAAACCAGTGGCAGACCAGATTTGCAACCGCACTGCGGACGTCCTCTACCTCGCCTGGAAGGGAGAGCGTGATCTAGATACTCCACCAAGCAACAAGATTGATGTTTCAGATGGCGTAGCAGGGGAGACGCGTTTAGCAAACGCGTGGCCAATCACGGCGATACTAGACATCAGTGGCGCAAAAAAACTATCTTCACAGTCACAATCGCAGCCGAATGCTCGTGGAGGGCCCGGTCAGTATTTTCCTTGCTGAGGCAATCGACCCTGAAAAGCACCAGCCTCGGTGGCGCAAGTGAATGAGAATCCTCAAGTACGTGCAAGCTTCAGTGCTGTGCAATGGAGTTCTCGAGTAGATCCGTGGGGCTTACTCCCTTGCGACAGAGACAGAAGAGGGGAAGCGGGAGGGGAAAGACGGACTACGCAGGAAACAGAGGCGGAGAAGGAGAAGGATGTGAAGGATGAGGATGAGAAAGACCAGGTAGGTGAGAGCGGAGGGAGGAGCGAGGGAGGGAAGGAGAATGGGAAATAGGGAGGACGAACGGGGAGAATGAACACTCAAATGAACAAAGTGAAGAAGGATGATGATAATGGCAACACGGAGGGAGGGGGGAGGAGGTGAAGGGGGAGGCGAAGGAGGTGCTGAAGGAGGAGGGGGGAAGCAAAGGAGGTGAGGTAAGAGGAGGGAAGAGTGGGAGGAGGCAAAGGGAAAGGAGGAAGAAGTGAGGAGGAAAGGGAGGGACTCGTCCTAATCATTGTCGCCTTCGTCTTGGTCTTGTGGTCTTGGCGGTCCTCGTCACCCTTGTCCTCGTTGCTCTCAGCATCCTCGACTTCAGCCTCCTACTCGTTCTCATGATATCCTGCTACTCCTCATCTCACTAGTTCGCTCTTGAGCGCCAATGCGTGTTCGACATCCGATAATCGAACCTCGTGATCAGGCCTTTCAGGATCGCAGCTTCACCCTGTCGCCGACAGCGAACACGTGATGTTTCCAGCGCTTGGCCGGCGCCAAGGCTTCTTAGAAGAAGGCTGCTTCTTAGACTAATTAGACGGCGCCGGCCCTACATCTACAGAGACGGCCCGCGCCTTCTGAGAAGCAGGGTGCTTCCAAGAAGCCTTCCCCCCCACCCCCACTGCCCCCCGCCCTCTACGCGTGGCGAGCTCTGCGCGATTCTGCAGGATTTGGCGTTCTGACCGAGCCCCGTTCGCAGGAAACCCCGCCACGTGCGCCCCGACCCTTTGGGCGTCGCCTGAGGGGGGGGGGGCGAGAAATGAGGGTGGCAGCGCAGGCTGCAGAAAAAGGCGCCCTTTGGGCCCCCCACAAGGCGCCTCTCGGTCCCAAAAGGGGGCCTTCCGGGCCCGACAAAGAAGCTCTCTTCCCCAAAAACTCTTCCGGAGATCTACTGGCTCGGGTCCATCCTGACCCAGGTCTGTCGGGCCTTGCAGGATCCTGCGGGGACGAAAGTGAGAGGGAGGACGGGGAGGGGACAAGAAAAGAGGCAGAGGAGGAGGAGGGAGGAGGACGAGGGAGAGGACGAGGATAGGAGAAGGCGCTCCGCGCGGATTTCTTGGATCTGCGCTGGACCACCCCCTTCTTGGCGCGCTTCGCGCGCCAGGGGCGGCATCTCGGTCGTCGCAGGGGGGGGGCCCGCCGATCCAAGAGACCCGCCGGGAGCGCCAAAAGTTTATGATTGTGTGTTTATTTTCTTCTTCTTCTTCGAGAGGAGGAGGAGGAGGAGGAGGAGGAGGAGGAGGAGGAGGAGGAGGAGGAGGAGGAGGTCCAACTGACTACCTGCCAGACAACCTCAACCCAACCTGCAGACGCGAATTTCGGGTTGGGGGGGTATAGCTTCCCTTCGTGTTTTTGTTCGCTATTCGCCGACCCCATCCCCACTGGGAATGGCGGGGAAATGAAGGCTTTCGGGTTGGGCTGGAGTGGTTTGGTTGGGCGCCCGAGATATCGGGGGAAAAAGTCGGGCCCAAGGAAACTCGGGCTTGGACGACCGGAAAGCGAATCCGAGTTGGCCCTCACCCGCCCGAGCTACTCCTGATGGCTCGGGGCTCTGACTTGGTGGGTATCGTCGGCGGTGGACAAACCTCCCTTTAGTAGACCTCCCCTCAATGAAAACGG